GATAACTAAATTACAATTAATTGTCATCCACTGATGAAAAAATGACTATTCTATTAGATTATGTTTAATGTAGTGCAACACAGTAGTAATAAACTAAATCTTTCGATTTCGCATATTATTTTCAACTGAATACAAGCTGCTATACTCGTGCTTTGCAACGGGAAGAAAATGTGACCTAGAGAGCTAAAGTAATTCTGATGTGTGTTTTAAAATACTACAACTCTATGATTTAGTTTGAAAATATAAACTGATATAATAGTGTAAACCTACTTACTTTCCGGCAATGAACTCCACTTGACCAGACCTTTAAAATGATGTGCATATCAACCTATGCTTACATTAAAGATTATGTACCTACTCCTCGTGGGCCGTCCCCTGGTGAAGGTCAAATAATGAAAATGATTGCAAAAAGTAGTTTTCATACATATAAGTTGATGTAAAAGGTTTGAATTTTATAACGAATTTAGTTAAAAAGATATTAAACCGTTTCCAGACTTTTTTGTCACCCTGTATAAATTACAAAATGAAACTTTGATCAATACCTTACAAAACGTATAGAACCTTTCTTTAAAACCAAACATAACCCTCCTAAATCTACATAAAACGTCACACACATCTTTTTCGAGTAAATAAACAAACACCAGTTCATTGTACTGACCATCTAATTCATTAACTAATTCAATTAAATCATGTAAACTTTCGAAGCATGCCAGGCGTAGCCCTTTGGAAATCAGCCTGTGGGGCAGAGCCCTTAGGAAATTTGTCCATATCAATACTTTTTGGCAAATCTACACACTCTAAGCTTCATTTTGATGCGTCATATGCCTATATTTTTATTTGGTAAGTGGCCTTAAAAAACCGTTTACATAAAATTTTATTGTATTACTTTAATAATATAACAGATGTGAGCCATTGATAAATTTTGTTATAATTCCCAACGGTATAATCAATTTCGAAATCATATCTTAGAATTCAGTCCACATTCGTCGAGGGACCACATAAACCAGAGACTGAAAGTGTGAAAGTTCCAAGAATGTCGGTGTTGAGCCTGGATATTGTTTAGTTAAGGTGTTGTGATGGTGAAAGACACGGTAAAGATCCTACATCAAAGAAAGGGGAAGTGTTTGAAAGTGAAACTAAACTCTGAACTGCTCAGGGAAAATAAACTACCTGAGTCCCCTCGCTGCTGCAAACCTACGTGGTGGGTCGATTTTTTATTTTTACATTGCTATTGAATAGTGCAAGTAGACTTTTTATTCAATTGTAAAATCTAAAACTTGTTTAAAACTATTTCATGCAGGTGACGTTTGAATTAGTCGTTGAAAAAATGTTCTCTTTTATTTTAGGGTAGATTTTATGCCTTGTGCTCTACTCTTTGATTGTTACATGATATTACTATGATCAGCTGATTGACTATCATAACTACGATTTAACCTGCCATTTCGTGTTTATGGTTTACGTTATATTTTCGTTCAACGCTTGGTTTGAACATAACCTAAAGTGTAGTATTTGAAAGATTAATAATTGGTCCTAAATAATGAAGTCAGTGAAAGTGATTGTGAATATATGTGTAAACCAGAGGAAATATCAGAAACTGTAAAACAAGTTTCATTAAACCTGTTAACTGAAAAATCAAGAAAGAAGTATGAACTAGCGTACGAACTGTTTTCCTCTTGGTGCGTAAGTGTAAGTTACAAAATCGTCAGAAAATGTGTTATTGGCACATTTTGCAGAACAATCAACTTGTTTATTCTGTTGTTACTGATTATTACTGTTTATACTTGTACTCTTGAAAATAAGTAACACTTAGGCCTACTTAAAGATACTACGACTACAATCAGCTGGTTCATAATTTCCCATTCCATTCAACGCTTGGGTTAAACCGATTGTGCAACACGAGCGCAAATGTCCTTTCTCACTACAGTAGTTACACAAATAACTATTTCCATACACCTCGTCTTAAAATTGTATCGTTTTAAATTAGTGCATTACTAAAACAACTCTACGTACACTTAGCTAAGCACTATAATTAATCCATAGGGTGAACCATTGATTAAACCATTTTCACGAATTCTATAGTACTTGACGTATTTTATCTACAAACATATCAAAGGGTGCGCAAATCAAACAATGCAAGCTTATAAACAAAAAGTACCTGACAATCAAAACAATGTTTACTCAATCTGTTTCCAACTTCAAAGGTAACATACAGAGAATAACGATTAAAATGGCTGCAATGTTGACATCAGTCAAAACTGTATTGGCCCAATATTGTTCAACTCAGTTCAAAGAATCAAAAGAAATGCTTCATTGTTCAATTTGTTTGAACTGCTGTTTCTTTTACAAATGGAATACTACAGAATGCTCTGTACCTACTGCTACTATTGTGTATTCTGTAGTTATTGCGTATAAAAATACGACAGTATACATCCCGTCATGTTAAAGCTGTGGCATTAACTAATCATACTCCTTTAATTGACCTTTAACAATTTTAAGGCTAGTTTCATTTTGTTTTTAAGGGAATTCGTCGTTTACTCTGTAGTTTCTTATAGTCAATGTACATTTTGGAAATTGGCTGCTGCCGTAGGTCTCTAAGACGTAGACCCGGGACCGGTTTACTTTTTCGTTTTGACATCCCATAAGCCAAAATACTATCTGTTCAAATTCATATACGGTACAGGGTGTCCCTTAATAACTCTTAATTAAAAATCCAAACTGCGATAATTAACATTAGAATTAGTTCTTTTGTTTGAATTTAAATTGTACTACCAAATGTCACTAAGTTAAAAAAGAAATGGTTCTATGCTTCTACTATGTGGGCGTAGCACTCCAGCCAGATGCTACTGCCAACAATGACCCAACTTTCTCCAAACAGCTGATTGTCGTTTTGATTGTTGATTGTAAGGTCAACATGTGATTGTCGTAGGCGGAGTCTGGTCGTGATCTTTCTCTGTCTCTGTTCAGGTCATGGCCTGGTAGTTGTGTCTCGCTTACCGTGCCACGGTTCTCTACTTCATATAAGTAGAGAAAATAATTTGCTTTTAATTTCTCTGAATACGTTCTATGTAATCAATCTTTACAGTGAATAAAATATTAGGATAATGCCCTGCTATCTGTTCTGTACAACCCTGATTTGAAACTACGTATAATAATATAAGGATTCAATTGAAATTAAAAATAATAATTAATAACTTCTGATAGAGACTTTTAAATAGACTAATAAAGTATATATCTACATAACCTCAATTCTCATACATACAATCAAAATAGTGTAATAATTCCTAAAATGCTCTTTAATTTTTTTTTAGATCTTTACAGTTATTGTGTAATGTGCTAATTATCATTGAAAATTAAAATACACTAGTTCCCACTCGTTTTACCTATTGCCTCATCAGAAACATCAGTATTTAGGCTATTAAAAATTGAAATTGAAGCAAAGCAAAATAAGCTGTATCAATCTATTTTACTACTAACATTAAATAAACATAAATAGTCACAGAGATTGAAATAAATTAAGTGATTCGTTTGCTCATGCCTAAGTGGAGAGAGCATACAATTATTAATAAACTATAAACAATAATGGACATAAAAAAGGCCTATAAAAACTTTGCTTTGTTATAATAAAACGTGCAGCAGTATGAAAGTATTAAGATCAAAACCCTAGACAAATACATGAACAATCTATCTTTATAAATAAAATTAGAGTCAAATATAAAAGTCTTTACTTTTCATGTTGTTGCTATGGGTTATGGTATTGAAAAATTAATTATATACCCACCGTTAAGGCTTGGAAGGAATCCCCAAATCAATATATAAAATCCCTGTTGGTCATGTGTTGTTCTTGAGTTCATTTGCAAACTTTGTGTATAGTTTTAGATTAATTATTCCGGTAGTTTGGTCGTAAGAGCGTAAAAAATTCAAATTCCCACATGTAATATTGAGGAACTACTGGGCGCGCCTTCAATATAGTCAATGCAATATAGCAGCAGTGCTGTCCACATATTGCTTGCGCCGTTTTGCAGGCGTTAGTGTATTGTTGTACTATTACGGGCTGTGGAGCTTTCTATAAAAAAATATATATATAGATAATAATTTTTCATAAAGGTGAATAAATATTGCAATACTAGTTGATTTGTACAAACCATTGCATATATGATCGAATATTGTGTAATTATTTGAATATTTTGTCTAAGTACTTTCTTACGACAACTTGAGGGAAGGTAGGAAATTATGGCTTTGTTTGATTACAAAATCAAAAACAATAAATGATGTTATTCATGGATTTATAGTTTTATACATTTTTCTCAATGCACTTTTTTAAGATGTTATGTCGTATGTTTAACCGCCTTAAGCTATATTTTAGGGTCTATTAATTTATTAATTTTGTAATAATTCTAACAGTTTATACTTCAGTCATACTATCACATAGAAAATATTTCACCATGCTACTTCCCGTTTTAAATATAGAATCATAATGTATGAGCAAATTTTACAATAAGTTTAGTTTTTACAAATCATTACGTTTAAAGTTAAGTAGTTTAAGAATTTTAGTACTGTTGTCTCTTGCAAACATTACCTGTCAGTGGCACGAAGAGAAAGAAGAATATTTAATTTTGCTCCTCTTACATTTAACCTATGAAATATTTCATTTATGTGAACAGTTTTCAATATTTTTTTTACAACAATTGTTTTACAATAACTTGAAATTCGTGTACAACACGGTGGATTGTTGCAACGTATCGGAAACATAAGCCATTATTTTCACCGTACACTATTATCTTCGAAGACGAAGATTAAAATTCTTGACAAGTTGTCAAAGCATCCTACATTACCGAATCATGTTTACCATTTTACGGTTGTTTGTGTATAAGACAAAGGTATATACACAATTTCCTTGCACAAAATGATGGGCAAAGCACTCAAATAGACCATACTATGCAAATAAAGAAATTTATATTTTGTAAAAATATTTTAATACAATAAAAAAATGTTTGTTCCAGTGGAGATGCGATGAGCGGAGCAGACTTGGAGGGGAACAGGAGTGAGGTCCGTCCCTTGGCCAGTCTAGGAAACGAAACATGCTTCTTGGACGCCATCCTGGGGGAGATCCTCCAGCCGCAGCTGTCAGAGGCCGTGGCCCGCGAGAGAGCCTGGGGGCGGCGACGCGACGTGGCCCCCTCGGCACCGCCACTGGAGGTCGAGGAAGTTGAGGAAGTGGAGGATGTTACTCCAATAACTCTAGGAGAATGGGAAGTAACAGCTCCAGAAGAAACTCTGGAGGGTGAATCTCATGACGAAACCACCTTGGAAGAAAGTAGTTCTTCGGAAGCTACCAGCGCAAGACTCCTGGAGTTGGTCACAGCTTTGGCCGACACTCTACCTCCACCTCCTCCCGACCCTTGCGAGATGACCAGGTGCGACTCATGGCAGTTCTCCTCCCTCGTGGATGTCCCGGTTCCTGACCATCCCTCGGGAACTTCTAGCCCCTCTACGTGTACTAGTTTCGAGTCCCTCTCGCGTGCCCTGGATGGCTTGTCTACTAGAGCGTCCATGTATTTGCAGAGGGAGCATGCCACGTTGCCTCCACGGCCTAGGTCTGCGTCGCCTTCAGTTCCGGTTCCACCTGAGGAGGAAGACATGGATAGTTTTGTCACAGCTGTGGATGAACCTGAAGATAGCGAGGGGTGAGTTGAAATTGGTTTATGAGTTATGTTGATTTGTAGTAATTAATTGTTGTATGGTTACCGTTTTATAGGTAGTAGGTTTTACCACTGTTGACATTTTCTTCTTGTCCAAGGGTTTGGTTTCCCATTTTAGATAGCATGATTTTATATTTTTTTCTTTCATGTGCTTCATGAGTTTTGGTTAGCCCATAGGGGGACTGTTCTAGGACTTTGGCCTAATCAGCCTTGGGAAGTTTTGCCTTTATAAGTCTTAAGTGTAGGCTATAGCCAATGTTTTATTTATCTGCTAATTTTACTAGAAACAGTCTTCTACTGTAGGAAGGATGATGTAAACTCAACAAAGTAGAACGAGAATAACTACTATTTTAATATTTAACAGCAAATTTAGTCAACCTTTTGTACAGAACGATTCAGTGTTTCGTTGCTGAAATACTGTAAACACAATAACCAATAACATATATACTAAAGTGTATTCGATTCCCAAATCGGTGTATACATATGACTAGTTTTACAGTTAATTGCAAAAGTTTTGGAAACTACTCGAAATAATATAAAAATAGTAGACATACTTGTACGTGTGTGTGTGCGTGTGAATACTTTTAAACTCATCAAATTCCATCATAAACGCATATTATTCCTCTTATTCACGTACGAGTAGATCAAACCAATTCTATCCTTGGTTATACATTCAGTGAAACTTTAATTGTATTCCTACATCATGTCCTATAGTACTTCATATCTAGCTTTGTAGTTTCGCCTTCTACTCCATGATTGTTTCACTTCACACTTAATCAAGTCAATAACAAGCAAACTCTGATAAGACAATATATTGTATACTTGTCTCGAAACTTCAACGGGAACATCGCGCAACAATTTGAAGTTTCTTCATTGTTTACAAGTAACAACCGCTCATTCTCTTCTGTTTTACTTCAATTGTTTATTGTTTGTTTATTAGTGAACAATGGTTTACAAAGTGTTGATAAATTTAGATATTTTCAAAATTAGTTGTAATGAAACTAATCACACATTTTTTGTGTAAGCCGAATCTCATAGTGCAATATGTTTTCCTTAAATCCAAATTTGATCATAAAATAAAACGTTGTTTGTAAATTTGTGATATGCTAATATTGAGAATATATCAAATACGTCAATATCAATTTTTACAAAATACCACCATCGCAATTGATGCACAAAATACCTCTTTTTTATCAGTCGATTTCTCTGTTACCACTTTTAATTTTAATTTTGGTTTACTTAGTATTTAGATTATCTCTCTATTCTCGTATTGTGGCATTCTTTAGATGTCTTTACTTTTGCTGTTAGGGCATTTCCGTTTGTATTGTAGTATACTTGCTTATGACGAAAAAAACTATGATCTTCCAGCTCTGTACTTCCCAATAAATAATTATTTTAAAAGCAGTTACGTCTATATGTTTGTAAAATAAAAACTCCTCATTTAAAGTTTGTATTGTGGTGTTTAGCTGAATTTACACTAGCTGTTTCAAGAATTGACCTCACGAGGCTTTAAAATTAAAACTCGAATCTAAGACAGTACTACATAACTCGTGCTTTCAAAGCAATGCCGTCATCATAGATGATATAATACCCTATATGAGTTCATTTATGCCGTCATATGCTAAATGCTATAATTGTAAAAATTCCTATCCATTCCAAGTGTATATTGTGGTGTTATTTAGCTGTTAATTTTCGCTGTTTTACGAATAACTCTATTACCACGGATACTATAACAGAAACTTTATGGATCATACATAAACAAATTACGTCACTGGCCCGTAAGTAAGCCTGTTTGTTTAATTTAAATGTAGCTGTCAAAAAACGTCCATACCAGGTTAAGGCTATTAGTTTATGATTTGGGCCAGTGACGTAATTTGTTTATTTATGATCCATACAGTTTATTTTCTAACATCCATAGCAATTACGAGGCATAATAATTTAAGTACAGTATCCGAATCTCACTTTTTTCTCTAGCTTCTACATTTTTGTGTACATATTAACGATATAGATAAACTAACATATGCGAATAACCGCAAATCGACCACAATGTCATTGTTGTAGGCCGTCTCCAAGGCAACCGCGGGTGCGCAGTCTCAGCACTGGTAGCCAAACACCCAGCGATCCTCTGGCCAAACCTTCACACCGCTGGTTACGGATGTCCATGCGGAGGGCGAGGCCCTTCAGACTCGACGAGCCTGTAGCGCCGGTCGCACCACCTCCTGGAACCTCTCGACCCAGTAGTGCCCCGGTGGCTTCGACCAGTCGTCCATCCCGGGGGCGAAGACGGAGGATCAGTTCTTCGACGAGCAGACGACGCGAGAACGCGCAGAACGACCCAGTTAGTCCCGACCACTCGTGGACCTCCCATCCTATCAGTGATGACGAGAGTGTGGAGTCTACTCCGAGGAGGCAGCCTAGGCCGGAGAACCCGTTCAGGTAGGAGTTTAAGTTGGTGGAGGGATTATGTATGTAGGTTTTATTTTTGTATTTGTAAACAGTCGAACCTCTAAGACGAATTTCAAGGGGTTGGTGAAAAATTCGTATCATCAAGGTATTCTTAAAGAGGTTTGTTTTGTCGAGGTTTAATACTGCCGTTATTCATCTTATAGAGGTTTCTCTTTCTGCCAAGGACTGAGGAAGGAAGAGGGATGGGTGGTTTTTTATGTTGAGACAAGCTTCTGTTTGGAGGCTAAGATCATGATAAATTCGTTTTATAGAGGTCGCATTCGTTTTGTGCTAAGAGTATTCGTTGTATAGGTTAATCAGTCCTAGCCCACGTCACAAATAAATTCGTCTTGAATTTCGTCGCATTGACCTTTATGGAAGTTTCAAGGGGATTTAAAAAATCGTCTTATTGAGGAATTCGTTTTACCGAGTTTCGTATTAACGAGGTTGGACTTAGCAAAGTAGTAGTTGATATAATGTCCACCTTGTAATGGGTAAAACGGTGTTTTTTAAGCGTTGTCCGTCACCAGTTTTACTAATTTCAATGGCCAACTATCAAATCCGACATCAAATTGAAGATAATTTATATTCAACAAAAATGTCTGTCGGCACATATTACTTTTTGTCTACAAATACGATGAGTGTTAAAAACATTCAGATTACATTGAGCGGTACATAAAAAAACATTATTCCGGTTGGACATAAAATTCGAAAACGAATAAACGCAGAATGTACAGCCCACACGACGCAACTAGCTGTACATGATTTTTTTAGTTTTGAACTACTGGGATTTCAGGATAGTGTTTTATATTTGGCCGAAATCACGATGTCAGAAACCTGCACCATAATTCCCCTTCAACCGTGAATAAAGCCAAGACTATTTCTCTTTTTCCGTCCCATACACTAAACACGTATCTAAAAATTACGCTAAAACACCAATTAAACTGGTTACAGCTCACTTTTTATCAAGCAAATTTATTTTCTAGAATTAAATTAATAACGAAATAGAACGTAATGTATCGAATGCATATTTGGTACCTTCAATACCATGTAGGCAATAAGTGTTGCTATATTGTTGTGTGTGATGCATCTATAAAGGCTTCAGGCGCTTCAATTATTCAATTAATGAATAGAATGACGAGTGTTTTGGTCAAAATTACCCTACTAACAAGTGACATAAAATTAATTGCCAACAAAGAAATAAGATAAAGCAAAAGGACCTGGGTTTTAGGGATTTTCCTAGGTTTTACTTGAATAAGAGAAAATGCAATCTGGATCAAATAAACTCAGACCTCTTACCCAAAATTAAACTTAGGAACACCTAAATATCCACATTTTTGTAGGTTATAGTGAAAAGTTATTTGGGTTTCTAGTGCCATACTGGAGTCTTATCTTGTTCAAATGAAAATCCTATTCAAAAAAAAATTCTTAACTTAAACATATTTTATAATAGGCTATTATTTTATTTACCTACACAAAAGCTTTTAGTTTACGCCTGCAATAATTAATACAGTGGAACTGCAATGTGTCGTGGCTAACATAGATAATGCAGGAAAATCATTCAGTTTAATCAAATGTTCGTAATGTAGGCCTAATCATGAAAATATGCGTTAGCACTGCTTAATTAATTGCTATTCATTGGATAAAAAGTATTTTTATTGCGTTAGCCTTATAAAAGCGTCAAATTGATGCCTGCAATTGTTTAAATGCAATCCGTGCAACTGTAGTGTAGTGTGAAGTATTGATGGAAAATGCAGGCGTTTAAAATATTCAGTCAAATCAATTGGCGTGTGATTTTGTCTGTGCAAATTTGCTCTCCATTGCTTGATGAGTTTTGTTCCTATGTACCACGCAATGTAGTATTTTTTATGGTAAATAAATTATAAACATTTTTCATTTCTGACTGTCACTATACAGTTAATTGTGTCTTTTATGCAGAGGTGTAAATAATGGGAAATAAAAAAATTAGTTTCAAATTTTAATTTTATGGTTTTATATTATTGATCTATTTTACTACATGTATAAAATGTCAAAATATTTCGTATCAATGTTTGACGTCTCAAAGATTTTACTAATTACGAGATAATTACATACTTATCAATCGTGCCATCAGAATAATTATGTACCTCATCTTTGTAAAATTATTTCTTAGTTTCTATGATTTGTGGCAGTGTTAAACGAAGCACTTAAAAAATTGAAACAAAGTAAACTTATTGTACAGTTTAACCTCGATAACAAGCTTCAGGAGATGATAAAATAAAACTTGTTACTAAGGTTAGAGGTTTGTAATGATATGTAATTAAGGTCTTATGAAATCAAGGGTTTTTGAAAATAAGTCTTGGTATCAAAGGACTATTGTTATTGAGGGTCTCCTCATTGGGGTTCCACAAAAGTTAGCTGAAACAACCAAACTATATTTCATTCCATCTACGACCCTAGATGCAAGAATAAAAGTTAAATTACGTGTTTTTGATCATTGGCTAAAAATGATTCTGGCCAAGAAACAGCTGATCTTAGTCATAACACAGCTGTCATCTTATCCATTCAACACTACTATAATATCATTTTGAAACTCTTCATAAAGTTATTGTCGTTGTGTGAAATTTCAGCTAAAATGCTCCAGCCAAGTTTCATGACGCAAAGACATCTGCCTAATTTCTCTTTTAGACCTAAATACACAACTTGTATGTTTGCCATTAAATTTCTCTGGGAAATTTCACACAGAATCATCACTGTGTTGGCAACCCTGTTGGAGATGGAGCGAAACTGATCGCCCGGTGGGTTTTTGCCGGGTGAAATCCTCCGACAGTCGTGCAGTCATTTGTGTAAACATTCAAATAGGTGAATCGATCGAAGAAAGCAAAATGGTCGAAGCAGCAAAACCAAGGTAAACTATCTGATGGGTGGAAAGTCGTTGTGAATTTTCCGTCGATGTTTTTGTGAAATCAAACGCATCGCGTCCTTGATGGATCAACAAACTGAACACTGTTTTGTTGTGAAACTTTTGGAAACTGAGAATATTTCCGTCTTATCCCAATATAAAATATTTTTAAAGTCATTGACATTCTGGTACTTTCAAAGTTACCATGTTGAGCTTTTAAGTTTTGATTGCTATTATCCATGGAAAAGGCAAAATTTTTATGTTTAGTTTATTTTACTTTATTATAATTTGTTTATAAACAAATAGTTTGGAAGTAAATTTCAAAATTGTATGTTTGAAGATAATAAATTGAAAACCCCTTTTTTGCCCCGTAACGCCCCCTCAAAACCCTGTTCCTATTACGATCATGCTGGTTTGCGAACTCGTTCGAATTAATATAGGTTTACACTTTCATACAACATTTAATCAAAATCTGTTATTTTTACTTTTACACATTGAATCGTTGAATTTTATTTAGCCTTCTGGAGATATCAAAAGGAAAAATGTTATCGGTTTCGGTAAACAGTCTTAAAATGAGACCTACTACAATATTTACTTTCCCATAAATTCGCTAAAAATCATAAACCATACGATTCTCAATCTAATCAAGTTTGCTAAACCTAAACACCATTAATTTAGACGTACAAATTTGCAATGACACCTTCCAACTTTCGCTTTCGAAAGCTAAAAATACAATTACATTGATGACCGTGACATCTGATTCTTGTTTGTCCGAGTCATTGTCCCAGTTCCCTGGTTTGTTTTGATCACTCGGGAAGTGTAAATGTGTATTATAACTTGTAATTTAACATGTGGGAACCGGGCCACCTTGTGAATTTACTGGACAAACAATGTGTTGGCCGTGGTCAACCAAAACAGGCAAAAATGCGATTGGACTGAAAATGATGAGCGACATTTGTTACCTTTTTGGAAGACGGGTGTGGACTATTACTGTATCATCAATTTGATCGTGTACCCAAAATAAGCCTTGACCAAAATTATAGGAAATTGTGTTACCTTAAAAACAAGGCAGGGCACAATGAACTGGACATGTTTAAGTGAACCTCCCCTATATAGGGAAGAAGCCATTCTGGTGGCATGGTTAGACCTAGACCCGGGACCTATTTACTTTTTTTGTTTTGATTGTGACCAGAGGCCAAAAATACCATTCGTCACAATGTTTAAATAAGTTTGAGTCCGTGAACATAATAAGTAGTTGGTCTGATTTTGATGAAATTTGGCATCAACATGTAGGGCTAGATACAATTTGAATGAGTTCACAAACTAGCAAGATCGGATCATGGGAACAATGTTTTGAAGAGTTTTGAAATCTTAAAATGGATTTTCAACTTGTGTTTAACTTGTTTTCCTTAAAATATGAAAACGCCCACTCATTACAACCATTGTATAGAGCTTAAATAATAAATAATTTTGTATATTGCAGCATTTTTGTACGATTGAAAATAAATATAACCTTACATTTTAAATTATTTCGTTATTTGTTGTGTTGGAGAAGTACTGTATACTGTTGTAGTTTTCTTCTTTATGGATTTATTAGGATCAAAGTTGGTAAATTAATTTATTTTGTACTATTCAAGCACCTTTTTCCTTCCCTGAAGCAGTCAACCTTATTGGATCTAAATTAATTTAAATAGGAAATAAAGCCACCCCAATGATCTCAATGTATGTTAGTGTCGTAGTTTGTAAAAAAATTACGGAAACGCTGCTTAAATTGACAGCTAGTATTTGTCCTGAAAAAAATAATGGCAAATATTTTCCAATTATTGACGGAAACATTACATTATTTTTTTAGTCAATAATTAAGTCAGAAATTGTTTCATACCGATTTTAGTCAAACATACAGGTCAGAAAGTCTGTTAGAAGAACACGCAACATAGCATCCACAACCAATGAATAATAATAACCATTGTTTACAACCATAAAAGGTACAACAAACTACATCTGTAGATGTAGATAGCTATTGTTTGTTCCATATTTGGTTGCAACAAGTCGTGTACGTTTGTGAGATACCAGTTAACTCTTCGTTGTCCTGGTCAGAGATTTAGTTAAC